CTGTCCTATTAAACTGTCTTTATCTCAACCCATGAATCTTTCTTTTTTTTTCCCCCCAATTCTCTCCCCCATGCCACTCGGGAGGGGGGGAGTAAGCAAACAGCTGCATGGTATTTAGCTGCCTGCCAGGTTAAACCGCAACAGTGTCTATGTACGGACCAGAGCTGTAAAAGCCTATAGGGCTACGCTGAGTAATGAGGCATGGTGCAGAAATACCCAAGTTAGTGCCAGCCTGACATGATGATATCCATTATGAACTATGCAGAGACGCTTGCTTGGTCCCCTGGGCAAAATAAATGTTAGACTGCTTGTTTGCCCAGTGTTAGTGTCCCAATTACTCACTAACAGAGTGTAGGGGAGCTTAATGATGGATGCGGCACCTTGCTGCTGCACAGCACCTTCCGGAGCAGCTGCGGTTCTACCTGGCACGGTTGTCTCGGTGCAGCTCTCCCCTGCGCAGTGCTCATCCACTCATGTTTGTGCTGCAGTCTGCTGGTTTCAAGCTTTTCTATTCATAGGCCGTTAAAATTCACTTCCAGTTTAAACCTGGCATAAGAAGCATCGTTCCATGAATGCTATTGTTTCGCTAGCCCAGAGAAATAGGGAAGTAGACATTTTCATGTGCCATTTAGTATTTTTAAATGACACTATCTGTTTTGTATTTTCACATAATTACAGTATTGCATTTCAGGAGCTCTTAGTCCATTATAAATAGTTCTTGGTTACGTTGAGGTTTCCAATCATCACATTGTATCTGTAAATACCACTTGAACGTGTGCGTACATTCAAGGCCATCTGAATTCTGTCTAAACTGAGCCTCAGCAGGCAGAAAGAGGGAAAACCCTGTTTTCCTGCAGCACCTCACCCCACAGCTCCCCTTCCGAGGAGCCCAGACTTGAGCGCCAGGCAGAGCAGCAGACATGCTTCTCTCCTTTCTGCCTTATCCCTCGCAGGAGCCCCATCTGTTAGGCATGAGTAACACATGCAGCCACTTTCCCTGGAAAATACTGTCATCCTCCCACTCCCACCCTCCCCTCTTTATGTAACAAGCTAGTGGCTGAGGGATTTGGTTGAGACCAGGGAAATGTAAGTATATTCACAGAACTACATTTATGTTAGAAATTTGATTAAAACACGTGTAACCCAGGTATCTTCCGGCCCATTGCCTGAGGACTAACTAGAGCATTTATTCCCTCTTGCTTATGTTCCCCTCCAAGACTTTTCCCTTCTTAGCTGGGTACGCTGGAGGGGAGGCACAGAGGGCTCTGCTCCCCAGCATTGCCACTGGTGTGGGGTGGGACAGCTAATCCTGCCTGGAGACCATGAGGCTGAACCTGCCTGGCTGGGGAAGGGATGGAGCCAGCTGTCCCCTGTCCAGCATGACCCTGCTGTTACCTCCCTGCCTACCCGGAGCAGCCTCGGTGCTTGCGGGGAGGAAAGGGTAAGATGAGAAGAAGGAGGCCAAGTGTTTACGTACCTGTGGGGTTTCTCACTGGCTTGCTCCAGAATGCTCACATACCATGTCACTTTCTGGACCACCCTTGGTAGCGTCTTGGTCTCTCCACTTGGTATACAGTGAGCACAGGCATCTAATGTAGTCTGGGATAGCCCGCTGTGGCCAAGTACCTGCATTCTGGTTAGGGCAATACCTAATGTAGGCACTTGGGTGATCTTGGCCACAATATAAGCATGTGTATATACACACATGCTCACAAATTAAAATTTAAAATTTGAATTCTGTCAGTCAAGCTCATGATTTACTTCTTAATCAAGAGGTGTGTGGTCACAACTCAATAGTCATCACTTCCTTTTTGCCTTTTTTTTTTTTTTTTTCATTTTCTTGGATTTCAGGTATGACCTTTATCCATTTCTCAGCTGGTTTTTTTTTGGTACAATACTTTCTATGTGCTTTTAAGGCACTGGGGATATATTGCACATTTGTTTCTTTTGCCTTTGTTTTGGAATTCCTGAGGCTGCCTTAAGCTTCTCATTTCTTTAATTATATTAATGGAATTTTGTGATTAATTATTTTGAAGTAAGTGTGCTTGTATAAAAGAATTAGCATAAGAAAAATCATGGCTACTGATGTCTGTTCTCCTTAATTTATAAAACTCTTTGAAAGCCATTTGTGCAAGGTGTTGCTAATCATTTTTATATGACATGCATTGACATGGGTATGTCCTTTTCATGCTATACATCTGTAATATCAGGAGTTCTGTTTAGAAAAAGAGAACGCTTTGTCTCTATGGCTGTTGCTGTCCAAGCAATAATTTACAAATCTGTTTCTATGAGCAGAACAGTGCCACCAATACCAAAGAGAAGTAGACAAGGTCAAACTGAATAGGCTATTAAAGTCATACTGTACTCAATTGACAGTATGTGAACTTCACTATTCCTGATGAAGATCAAAACATCTTTGCTGCGTATAGGCAATGTTTTGTGATTTCTAATTTGGCCTTTGCAGGCCAGAAGCATGGCCATTTTGCATTGCATCCCCATCACAAAACTGCCATCTCATCAGGGTCTTCCTAAAAGGTAGTGCTGATGTAGCCACTTCTCTGTCAAGTTGGGTGTGCCAGTGACTCCTGGCTGCTATGGATGCTTTCTGTCCCGGTTTAAAGGAGGGTTGTGTTTCTCCAACTGAGTAGAGAGGAGAATCTTCTTTTGCCATGGCATTGTATAAGTGACCCTAAATTCCAGCACAGTTCATCTTATTGGTGAATTGAATAGATGCAATGCAGTATTGCTGTGGTTTTGCCTTTACTTTAGGTGAGATTATTGTAATGAACTGTTAGAGATTTTTTGCTTGAAATTCATTTGTAAGGTCCAGCTCGTGTAAAGAATATTTGTCTGCCCCATAGTGGGATAAGCCATTTACTTGTGCTCTCATTGCACTGAATTTCTATTCATTTCAGGGTACAGTAAGGATATTTGAAATTAATATATGGGAGTGAGTTTAAATGTGCAATATTTAAAGTTGGCTAGGAGATGTGGTGTTCTTGTTTCTTAGAGCTGAATCCCTATTGTAATAATAACTAGTTGAGTGCTCCTGTCATTTAAAATATGTTCCCTTTCTGATTACCAAGGAGGCCATATCAAATAGGTTGTAAGGGTCACTTTAAAATCTGATAGCTTATTTCTGGTTTTGAGTGTTGTAGCTGGGCTGCCAGCATGTCATGATGATTGTCACAGTAGATCTAATTATGTTTATGCCTCTCGTTATGATTGGCAAATATAATTTATTGGAGTTAACTGTTATAGCCTCACTGTTATGCCTCTCCAGTACATCAGAAGGGACATTATTATAAATAGATGGTATTCATGGAGGTGGGAAAATTGCTAAGCTCTTACTGTGCTGCTTTGAAGATTACACACTGTCATTGTTCTCAGCTCCCTATTTTAACTACCAGTGACATTTGTGTTACTATGCCCACATGACATTTAGGGTTCTTTGCTTACTTTGGTCAAAAGTTTGAGAGAAAATTTGTGTTGGGTGTCTTGTTGGGAAAGAACCTTTGCAGGTACAGAATTTGTTTTCTGAGAGATGTTGCTAAATAAAGATGAAAGCCAAAGCTGCAGCAGTAGATAAAGCCTTTGTCATCTAATAAGAGAAGCTACTATTATTTAAATAATTGCAACAATCTTATGTGTAGTAAAAAGTTAGAATACAAGGAAGATTTCAAGAAAAATGCAGGCTTTTCCAGAAGCTGAAGTAGTAATCTGAGGGACAGGAGATCAGGACCTCTTCAGCAACCTCTGTGGCATTTTTTCCATCCATTTTTGACTGGAGAGGTAGAGGCACAGCATATTAGTTCATCAACCATGCAGTGCAGTTCCTTGAACTTTTCTCCTATACCCAAGTTATGAAAAATAAATACGGAAATACTTTTTAATTGATGGAAAAAATATCTCTCCATCTTTGGACTCAGGTGGAAACCATTGGTTCATAGGATCATAGTCCTATGTAATTATTGCCCTAGGTATGTTTCACAGTAGAAGATACCCTGAGGCATACTCTGCCGTGGCAAAGGGTTGTTTCAAAAAGTATAGCAGGAAATCTAGTTCACAGGCATGTATTCTATACTGGCAGAAAAGTGCTTCCAAAACTGAAACAAATACTGCTTCTCCAGAAAAAAATATGATACAAGGGCAAAAAGACAGATTTTGCTGGTTATAAATTGTCTTGAACAAGGGGTTTTAGCAGTTGGGAATGGTCGTAAAACGATACATTAACTGATATTGTTATACTGACTGAAGTGTTGAGCCTGGTTTGAAATTGCAGGAAAGCAATCCAAACACATCATCAGAACAGTATGACAAATTATCTCTGATATGTTTATTCTAGTTGTCATTTGGACTTAAATTAGGGATAGACTATTGACTATCTTTTACTAAATCACTGAGACAGTAGTATTCAGTCATTTGAACAATATGTAACAAAGTTGCAGAAAATTTAATCGTGAATATGCTAAGAACCATCAGAAGTTCTGTCTTCAAAAATGTGGTCCTAATTCAGGCAGCAGCTGGGTCAGAGTGCTTTTATTGACAAGCAGGAAAGCACACACTGATGCTTTCCATACCAGCATGCCGCGCACATCTTGCAATGTTCTCTGCTGTAAAAGACTGATTGACATGTACTTGGCCAAAATTGGAGATAACTACAAAGAGATGGAGGTGATCTCTAATAGATCCAAAACAATGTCAACCTCCTCCAACAGAGAGCATCATATATAGATTTTCTGATGGCCATTTAAGATGTTACGTCATTTATAAAATGGTCATAGTAGTCTCCTATTGATTTGAAACCGAAAGACTTTAAGCTAAATGGAGACTAGCTGGGATGCTTTGCTCTGTCTTGGAAATTTTGCAACCTTATCATGGTACTTAATTTATTCAGTTGCTATTCGAAGATAACAAAAATCAATCTCTTCACGCCTCTTGAAAGAGACGTTCGCTATAGAAAACTCTCTAGCCAAATCAGATAGGCTGTGTTTTCAGGCAAACATAATGCTTTTGGCCGGCACAATAGATAAAATGCTGATAGTGTAATTTCAAGAAACTCTCTAATAAATAAGGTTTTGGTACCTTTTGTTGACATTTAAGTTTCTGTTGGTTATCTTCTAATATTTACTTTGAATGGGCTAGATATCTAATCTGGTTTTGGTTCATGGAGTGTGCACAACCTTTAACAGAAAACCTATATCAATTACAATCTTCTCTGGCCCTATAACTTTCTTTATAGACTTGCACAAATCACTCAACCTTTGTAATTTCTTTGTGAAGTCAGCCTATAGCAATATTTGAGCAGGAAAATGTGATTCCATTTCAAGGATGATTTTGCTATTGTAAGATTTAGTTTTGTTTTATTTGGGAATGAAGACAGTTTCTACATCACTTGTGAAAGTGGATGCAATCCATCTGTCTTGGAGAGGTTTGACCTGGAAAATATGGCCAATCAGGCAGGGTGCTGAGGAGCTGGGAGTGTGAGTTACCAGAAGGCAAGACGATTTTTTCAGGGAAAATCACCTTTCCAGAAGTCGTGTGAGGAGGATACTATAGCATTATTTGGATTATTTTTAAATTGTTTTCTTTAAAAAGTGTTTTACACATAGTAATCATATTTGTAATATGGTACCATGCTGAGGCCAATATATGAAGGAAACTGTTTTCCAGAGCTTTGATAAGTTGAAGTAAATGGAAAAACTGGAGCTTCTGCTAATATAGACACCTCAGTATGTCTTAATGCCTATCTCGGGCACTGCAGTTTGAGCACATTGCTTACTACGTAAGATTAAAGTCTGAGCTGAAGTTATTTACGTGTAGGAAATCAATGGTGCAGTAAGATGTGATGCAGCGAGCATTCTTACCTCTTTTTTTCTTACATGTGTGGACTGGGGTCTTATAAGAAGGTGTCTCTCCAGGCTGGGATTGCAGGAAGTGGTGGAGGTGAGATGGGCAGGCAGTGCTGCCTGCAAAGGCCACAAACCTGGGGCAAAATGCTCTCGTTAACGTTGCATTCATTTCCCTAGCAACCCAGGGACATGGGGACGTGCACGGCTGACAACCCCTGCCAGCCTGAGGTGGAGCAACACACCAGTCTACCACATTTTTACGTTTCTTAAAACTAATCGCCTTTTAATATTTTCATAACTCTAATTTTCTACTTATCTGCAGCTGAAGTTCAAAGTGAAATTGAACGGATTTTTGAATTAGCAAGGACACTGCAGCTGGTAGTGCTTGATGCTGATACCATTAACCACCCAGCTCAACTAAGCAAAACCTCTCTGGCTCCCATTATTGTATACGTAAAGATTTCTTCTCCTAAGGTAAATATTTTACTGATACTCATGCTGTTTCAGGCTTTTTTTTTTTTTTCCTTGGTCTTAAATGCAGATAATCACATGTCCTCATTAAAGTTCAGAGCTATAAATTGTTATTCCTTCCCTTTGGATGGTGAAATATTATTAATCAAAAAAGAAGTATATTAGCTCTGGTGTTACCAAAACCCATTTTGGACAAGAGGGTTTTTTTTTTTTTAAATTGGGATTGTGCTTTTAGTATCAATTATGTAAGTAATGCTAACAGTTTGTTAAATGAAAATAATACAGAAATGAAAGAAAGATTTTCACATAATGAATATCAGACTGACTGGTAAACTTTAACATCTCCTGGTAATGTACTCTTTCATTCTGCAAAAAAACCTTCACAGACCTTGTGAAGAGGCATTTGAAAGAGAAGAATGAATTATGGGAAGAGAACTCAGGAGAGCAATTAAAGAATTTCAACATAGAAACAAACAAAACCAGAAGCAGCAGAGGAAAATAGGAGAGGAACTTTTAGTGTTCATAACAGGAAAGGAGATGTTGGGAAGTAAATGAAAATTAGCTTGTTCTGGATGCATACAGCATGGGAAATGTTCCTGATGCCAGCAAATGAAGAATTCGATCTGCTCAAGTGAACAGTTAAAAATGTAAACATTTTAAGTGGTTACATATGTACATTAAGTCCGAAGCTGCTCACTTTTATTCATGTCTTATTTTTCACAGGTTTTACAGAGGTTAATAAAATCTCGAGGGAAGTCTCAGGCCAAACACCTTAATGTTCAGATGGTGGCAGCTGATAAACTGGCACAGTGTCCTCCCGTGAGTTACTGTTAATTTATGTCTCAACTTTGAAAGGTGCCTTTCTCTTCAAACACGAGGTTAATTACGTGATTTCTGGGAATGTTTGCCCTCTTCTGGCCATATTTCACTATTGCTTTTTTGCAGAATGCCTCCTGAGGTCTCTGGGCTCTGCACAAGGGTGCAGGGAAAAACAGTTCTACTCACAAGCAGTTATTAGGATGTGTGCTGAATACATTCACCACTCAAACAAGCTGAGCATTTGTTTTACTTGATAATTCTTTTGGGGTTATTGGTCTAAAAATGAACCCTCTTAGTGACTATGATTTATCTCTGGCAGTTTATGGTAAAGCCAGTGGTTTGGGTAGCTCCCCTTGGGCGTATGTCACCACAGCCAATCACTGCTGGTGTTCTTGGTCACAGTTTTGGCAGATGTGTGGGGTATTGCGTAGCTGAGAGCTCTGCAGTTATTCTGTTGATGTGCAGTGAAACAAATTCTTTCAGCTTCCACCTATAAGTGGAGATGATGAGACCCCAGCTGTGTTTTAAACCTGACAAGCATTGTTACCTGCATACTCAACTGTCAAGAGTATGGGTAAGAGACCAGAAGATGAAGGTTCAGTTCAGTTGCAGATATGGGAATTTGCTGTGGTTATGGACCTGAGAGAGGGGGATGTTTTCATCATTTAAGTTCAAGCATCTCAGTTAAGAGACTAGTCTCCTCAGGTCCCCAAGAAGTCAATAAAGAATGTTGGAGACCTGCGTAGGCTCTCAAAGCTGCCTTCAGGAGGACTTCTGTCTCCCTAACCAGGGAGAGAACAGAGGAAACTCGCCTCCTAACTTTAGATGCCTAAAATTAGACTGTGTGACTAATCTCTTACCTAATATTTGTACAACACTTGGAAACTGGATGATCTGTATTACTTGTGTTTCTTACTGTTATTAGTTATTGGTCTTAGTTTGTCTTAGTCTTCTCTTAGTTATTCTAGATATGGGGAGTGAACCCCTTTTCTTGCCATTCCATTTTGTTCCAATAGCTAAAAATGTCACTATTTAACCTTGCTTTCTGGATATTTGAGTTTTAAGATTTGTTCAAGCTACCTCTAACTATCTTTGTTGATTGATTGTGCATTACTAAGTGGAAGTCATGAGGATTTGCTTTAGCAAGTGTAACATTAGTGCTAGTTATGATGGCTGTCTTTTGTATCAATTGCATTTAAAAAAAAAAACAAACCCAAAACAGAAGGGTGAAATATCTTAGCACAAGTGTTAGGAATGTGGTTCATTTTTGATGAACGGAAAGTGTGGTCATCCATGTCTCTAACTGATCTCCCTTTAGCTGGTGGTTATTCTCACTAAAACCTTTCCTTTATCAGGAAATGTTCGATGTAATTCTTGATGAGAACCAGCTTGAAGATGCTTGTGAGCACCTTGCTGACTATCTGGAAGCCTACTGGAAGGCCACACATCCACCTAGCAGCAATCCTCCTAACCAGCTTCTCACTCGCACACTTGCAACAGCCACTCTTCCTATTAGCCCAGGTCCAAATATTAATTTACAGGTACAGTTTTTATGCCATCTCTTCTTTTTTTTCTATCAACTTCTTCCTCTTCCAAAGCACGGTGGTAGCCTGATGTTAGAATATGCTGAATACATCTTACTGTTGTTGATAGAGTAAGAGCTTTTTCAGTAGACATGCACCCATTTTCAGTATAAAAGGCAAATACAGGCACATTATTGTTACTGCCATTGTATTCACAATAGCATGTGTTTGTGTATTGACTAAGGGGCTGGTTTTGATTCCAAGGACTAAGCCAGCCTGACTGAAAACATATGGTGATGTGAAGTGGAATACTTAAGATTTCATTGTGCCCAGGACACCACTGTGCCAGTAATATGTGTACCAGCCATGAGCGTTTTTATAGCTGGCCATATGTAATCCAATCAGAGGAATAAAACGGCTAATACTACGCACGTTACAGCCTCTGGTAACTCTCTGACTGATGGGCACACTATCGCTAATAGGCAAATCCCAGCCCCAGAGGCCCTGCATGACAAATTAGGTTATGTACAGAGCAGATCCACAAATGTGGAGGGAATCTGTTCCTATCTTCCCACAGGCTACAGAGTTGCAGAGGTTGAAAATGACTGATTGTATTAGTGAAGTCTCAAGGTCAAAGTGGCCCTTCCAGTGTTTCCTTTGTTCTTTTATTCATTGGCCATTGCTGTGAAAAGTACATACTTCCTTCAAGCCAAACTCTTACATAAAACCCCAGTCCCGCTGCACGTTGTGCAGAAGGACCTTGAGAGGCAGTATGTTCTGAACAGCAAGGGTACTGTCTAGTGAGCTGGGATAAACAGGCTTTATTCCCACCTCTGCACTGACCTGCCTGGTGACTTTGGGCATATTTTGTCCTCTCTTTTCTCCTTCAACTTTTGCTTTGTATAATTGTATTAAGGTTTTCGGCATAAGGAGATCCTCTCCTTTGTATATGTGTTGCATGACATGAAATTAAGTCTTTAAAGATGCTACTTCATTATAAATAGTGAACGACACCTTGAGGCTGAGAAGATCACATGGGGGTTAAAAGACATCTGTCCCAGCTCAAGTAATGGCTTACTACATCTAAATTTCCATCAAAGTTCCATATATGCTCATGTTACATACCTATGTCGGTTAAAATTCATAACTTTCGCTAACAAAAATGCCTCCTTTTAGAAAATCAAAGAAAAAAATATATCTGCACCCAAATTAAAATGCCAAAAACTTGCTTTTAGTTTTTATGGTCTTGCAAAACAATTTTTTGCGTTGTTATTTCCCGTTAGAAGCCCACAGACTTGACAGGTTTGTTCTTTAACAAGAAAAATTGCTTCAGCTGCCTTGCAGGCTATCTCCTCTTGCTTTCAAAAGCAGTGGCAGGAAAAGAGACTGTAAGCTATAGCTCATTTCTGCCTTTTTTCTGTCCTCAGAGCTGAAACACCCTGAAAAAATTGTGAGCTGGAAGAATTTCTGAGTATGAAATTCAGTATTGTTGTGTGCAGACTTGCTAGATAAACTTTCTTTGCTTTGTAGACATGTTTATTATTTTGCTCAAGTTTTTTTTTTTTTCCTTTTGAGTGTGGATTTATAGTTCACTTGCTTATTTTATTAACCACATTCTCTGGAGGAACTATACAGATTTTTAATAACACTTTTCTGAATGTTGTGCTATCTCCTTACAAATTAACAGATTTTTATTTTAAGGACTAAAAACGAGAATGTATTTGCAGTTTCACAGTTTGTTTGCAGGTCTACTAATCCAAAAGTGTGAAGCAACGGGGGTCCCTTATGGAACACAGAACTTTTCCGTTCCTTTTGTTTCATTTTCCTATGATACATTTTCAGCTGACATCTCAAACCTGAGCCTGTCATGGTCTTGGAATAGAGTGGGTTTATTTTCTAATCACAGTGGCTGAACCCATTCTCTCAATAGTGTTAAGACCTTCTATTTGGAGAATTTTAAAGTCTGTGTCTGTGCCGTTTTTGTGGACTGCTCTGCAGAGAAAAACCATGCCACCAACCATTTGACCTGGAGTGGTCACATCCTCACTGCAAAGCATTAGAGTCATTCTCCCCCGGGTCTAATGCAGCACCCCTTTGCCATGAGATATAATTGGGTTTTGTGGTTTTTCAGTCCCAGGTGTACATTGTAATGAGAGATTTGTGTTGCCAGCTGCCAGAGTGGTATTTTTATAGCACAATGCTGACTGTGTGCATTGCATGGCACGAGGTACTTGAAGGTGTGAGGCCTCCTGGGACTGTTTAAAATTAAGTCGGTGAAGACCATATACCTCCTGTCTATCTGATGGAGAGCTTTGCAGCAAACTTTCCTGACAACTGTTCTCAAGTTTCCTCTTGTAGGGC